CCCTCATGAAGCGGGCCAGCGACCTCACGCTGCCGTCCACAGCTCCCAGCCTGGCCCGTTGGCCGCAGTGAAAGAGCTCCAATTCCTTCCCCAACGTCCTGCTGCTGAAAACGGACACGTTTCCCACAGTGACAGTCCATCAGTTCCACAAATGACAAATGGAGTGAGGCTGCAGAAGGACCTCGCTGGGCTAGGACGCAGCAGCCAGCTCTCACACGCACATGGACCCGGAGCTGAGACCCTGCAGTCCCTCTGCTGGGGCGCCCGGCTGTTCCAAAGATGCGTGCTGTTCACACGAGCTGTTAGCGTCGGCGCAGGAAGGGACAGCCTGGCGGAGATCTGACATAAACAGCTCCGCCTCGACCTGGCCAGGTTACTGCGCTTGACGCGCGGGTCGGGGAGGGCTTGCCCGATGCCTGCTGGGCACCACCACCGTCCTCCCACTGTGGGCTGGGGAGACAAGCAGCACCTGAATCCCTCCCTCAGGAACCTGGGTTGTTTGGGAAGACAGGGACCCATGACAGGGGTGGTTCAGCGAGGTTGAAAGCAGGGCTCAAACTCAGAATGTCTGGGTTCAAAATCCCAGACTGGCCCAAACTAAGAGCAGCCAGGAGCCAGGTGCAGACGTCAACTGCTTTGCTGTAGCAAGCAGCCCAGCCTCTGTGGCTTCGTGCCTCAGTCTGCTTCTCAGCAAGGTGAGATAACAGCAGTGCCCACCTCCGCGGTGTGGTGAGGACTGAATCAGGAGTCCATGCAGAAGTCCTGGCAGATAATCACGTTTGTCATTGCCCTTGTTATCAACAATGCCACAGCAAAGACTCTGGAATAAGCCAGGGAGGAGACCAAAGTTTCATGGGGAAAAGGAGAAAAGAACTTAATTGGGGCCTCCCAAGAAGTTTCTGAAGGAGGTGACCCTGGAGCTGAGCCTGGAAGGAGAGGTGGTAGGGAGCATGTTTGAAAAGCTGCATGTCCAAGAGGCATCAGGAATGAGAGCTGGATCAGTCCTGCTGTTCTAGCCACCTGAGCTTTGGTGTAGGCCATCTTGTGGAAGTAAGAGAGATGTCCAAGCACCCAAGATCTCATCCTCATCATTGCACGTGATCTTGGCCTTTCCAACAGGTCTACAGCTTGGTCCTGGAGGCTGGGAGAACTCATGTCATGTCCCCAGCCCCCCGAGGGGGGAAGCCTGCTGTTTCTCTTAGGCCAGAACTTCAAGCTCCATAGAACTGTGCCCCGCAGTCACACTGCCCAAGCCTGTTCTCTGGAAGCCTCGCTGCCCAGCCTGGACAGTCTCATCCCCAGACATCCCTAGTTCTGGTGCCTGGCACATGGCAGGCTTTTAGCACATGTATGATGAATAAATGAATTTCTGGAGCATGCTACTATCTCATTTAACCCTGAGCTAGAACCGTCATGGCTGGCAATGTATGACGTCTTGGGGCCCGTGGCTGTCTGACTCGCCACTGTCTGCGGGCACGCAGGTGCCCAGAAATGGACATCAGGTCCTCTGGGAACACACTTTCTCCTCCAGGTGGCTTCCCTTCTGTGAGCCTCAAGAGTCTCCACAAAGAGGTCTCACTTGGTCGTGTGGCTCTAGAAGTGCTCAGAAGGCAGTCCTTACCAGAGGAAGCCTTAGGTGATGGCTATCCACCACAGCTTCACTCAAACACACACAGAATCTAAGATCTCCCACGGGGTATCTAGGTTCTGCCTGCTCAAACGCAGTCTCCTCTTGTTCTGGCAACGGCTACTTAGCCGTCCTCTGAAGGAAAACCTGTTCCCCAGTCCTCATCCATGCGGTTAAGGTGTGGCTGACACCATCCCCACTTACCCCACAGGTGGGCATTTAACCCAGCCCCCATCTCCCCTCACGGCGGGGTGTGTCCGGGGGGAGATGTGATCCCAGCTGGTGCGATAATGGTAAGACGGAAACTCTGGCGCACTGCTGGGACTAGAAGGTCTCTTCACAGACATGGCCCAGCAGCCAATGAGGAGAAACACCTGAGAGTGAAGCCAGCACAGAGCAGAGCTGAGCCGCGACCGGGGAGCATTTGAGAGGCTGGAGTCAGCCCTGCCTGAAGCCAGCCTAACCCAGTAAGCCAATACATTCCCTTTTTTGCTTAAACCAACTCAAGTTGGGTTTTCTGTCACTTGGGACTGAAAGAGTCCTGATGGCACCCATGGGGCAGCGGGAAGGCCAGCTCATGGGGACAGGAAACCTCGCCTGGAACCCCAGGAGATGGAAGAGACTTTGTCCCTGGGAACTTGTCTTTTCTGCTCATTCAACACATACTCGTCCAGCCCCATGGCAGTCCTGGGAACGTGTTTATCTCCACAGCCACAGGGTGACCGACGCACTGTCACCAGGGTGGTGAGGAGGGCCTCGAGGAAGTCCGCGGCTCGTGAAACGTGAACGAGTGGCGAAAGGCGCAGGGCTGCGACCCGATGAGAGCGCCTCGAGGCCTGCGTTTGGGCTCTGCCCTCCCCGGCCCCGTGGCCGTCTTGAGCAGGCGCCGGCACCGGGAACTCTCTGGCCCCCAGTTCTTCTGCCTTTAAAATCGGGATATTAATATCTGTCCTGCTGAAGCCATCTGGTTGTTGTAAAAACAATCAGACAAAAAAACACAAACAAAAATTAATTTGAAAAAATTGTCAAAAGCAATGTATTTTTGGATGAGAGAAAATCATTGTATAAACTGACATGGGACACTCTAACTTCTGACCAAGGTAGAGTAACAGAGACCGGTTTTACTCTCTCACCTTAAACAACTAAAGTCCCCAGACAAAATCTATGGATTAATTTGCACACACGTGCATAGTAGCTTTATTCACAAAAGCTAGAACATGGCAGTAAGCGCGTGTCCGCAGACAGGTGAGGGGCTGAGCAAAATGTGGTCCATACATACAAGGGAACATCCTTTGGCTCTAAAAAGGAAGGAAATTCTGACTTGTGCTATAACTGGGTGAGGCCTGGGGGCATTATGCCAAGTGAAATTAGCAGTCACGGAAAAGTACTGTATGATTCTACTTATTTGAGGTAGTTAGAGTAGTCAGATCCATAGAGACAAAGAGTGTAACTAGGTTGCCAGGGGCTGGGTAGCGGGCAGGGGAATGGGAAGATGGCATTTAATGGGTACAGAGTTGCAGTTTTACACAATGAAAATCATCATGGAGACAGATGGTGGCCACGCAGCACAACATTACAAATGTATTTAATATCACTGACCTGCACACCTAAGAATGGTTAAGGTGGTAAATTTTATGCATATTTTACCACAATAAACATATTGAAAAATTATGAAACATTTGTTTTCAGACAATTGGATCACAGGCAATGCAGGAGTCCTAAGAAAGCAGACACAGAGGAAGTGAGCCCTTCAGTTCTGCCAGCTCCCTGCCTGAGGTGGGCTTCCAGGCTGCAGTGCAGAGGAGCAGCCCAGGCAGAGCCCAGTGGTCTCGCTGAGCTGAAGGTACGGAACTGGAAGTTTGGAGAAAGTAAGGGAGCTGGAGTTTGCAGGGCATCATGCCACAGAAAAGAGATCTGCACAGAGAGGGGACTCTGGAAATTCCTCCTTTAATATTCTACAGAGTATTGAACTGCAAAGTTACATAAAGAGACTATTCAGGGCTAGGATAAGAACCACTGGAGACGAGCACGCGCGACAATTCCTACAGCTCGTGGAGAACTTGGAATCGTTCGTGTTCTCAGCAGCCAGAATGGAGAAACCTCACAACACCTGGGGGAGCAGGGACAGAACTCAGAAGGGCGCTGCCTCCCTCACAAGCGCGAATCAGCTCTCCACTAAAAACTGGTCTGGTGCAGCCCAACGAAGCTGCGGAGCAAATCACGATTTGGATCAAACTGCTTCCGAGTAACTTGGGTGAGTCTCAGAACAAAGTTCACAAACATCAAAAGGAATACAAAAAACCCAGTTCACAACAATATAAAATCTACATTCTGCCAAATATTATCAGACAGAGAATCGGGAAAATACAACCCACAATGAGAAGAAAAAACAGCCAATAGAAACAGACACAGAAATAACACAGATGATATAAATGGTAGACAAGGACATGGACACAGCTGTTTAAATGTACTCCACATGTTCAAGAAGGCATTATAGAAGAAAGCATGGGCGTATTAAGGACAAACATGGAAAAAATTAAAAGAGGCCAACTGAACTTCTAGAGCTGAACAGTAGAACATTTGGGATGCACACCGCGCCGGAAGGAACCGAGAGGAAGCGAGCGGGAAGGCGGCGAGGCCGAGCTGGCTGAGGGCGCTCTGCGAAGACGGAGAGAGCCAGCGGCTGGTGCGGAGGGTGGTCGGAATGTCGCACCGCGGCTTTTCAGCCCGCAGTCTGTCAACCTGGCACTTCGTTTAGGGTCATAATCTGCACAGCCAACGCGGTGGCCCCGCCCGAACAGGGCGATGAAGGGAAGACTGAGCGGGCCCCGGGAATCCACCGGCGCGCCCTGGAAGACGCAGGGCCGCAGCCGCAGCCCCAGCGCGGCCTCGGAGCACTTTCGCCTGCTCCCAAGAACCAGCGGAACCCGCCGCGCACTGCCCCTGCCGCCCCCGTCGCGGTCTCCCGCGTGAGCCAGAGCCGCGGGCCCAGAGGACAGGCTCCCACGCACAGGCTGCGGCTGGGGTCAGACGCTGCGGCAACGGGTGCGGGACTGTTGGATGCAGATCCCTCTCTGATGAGAATCTATGGTTAAAGTTTTTAAAAGTGAACAGAAAATCGGTCCTGCTAATGGTGGTCCCTCAGCAATAAACAGCACTAAGAGATTGCTCAGAATTACCCGAGAATCTACTCACTTCACATTTGCCAAGAAGACAGTCTTGTTCAGAGTCTATTCAGCCTGGGAACCCCAGGGAATATTCAGAACCCTAGAGACAGAAACAATATGAAGACAGTCATTTCTCTGAAGCAACAATTTGTATTTTCATATCTTTGATACACAGTCTAATACTCAAATCAATAGGCCAATGGAGATTCACCTAGTGCAAGTTTAATAAGGAAAATAGTTTTTTGGAAAAAAAAAAGATTGGAAAGCCAGAGATATTACCTGCGGCTGTGTTAGATTGTGGAGGGGTGTAAAGTTGGCTCTTTCCTTTTCCCCCAGTGTAATGAAACAGAGAAGCCAAACCTCCGAGTTGATTGTAATCATACAGAAATGGGAGTTTCTGGCTGTTTTCTGTTCCCCCTCCACCTCCTACCCTTCCTACCCTTGCTCCAATCAATACAACAAGTTTTATTTTCTCTGATGAAAGCTCGATTTTATTCTTCTTTTTTTTTCTCTCTCTCTTTTTTTTTTTTTTTTTTTTGCAATTTAGGCTTCCTCAAGCCTGGCCTGGCTTTGCAGTCAGAAAAATCAGCTTCCAAATCATGGCATGGGTTTTGGAAAGCCAAAGCTAAGGCCTGTCCCAGAAAGTGGATGGGCAAAATAGATAGAAACAAAATGCAAAAAGCAGGACAGATGACAAGGCTGGGAGGACCGAGAGGCTGGCAGCAGGTGAAGGTTTGTCCTGGCAGAGTTCTTTCCTCGTCCCAAAGCTGTGTCTTCCTGCTGGTAGTACCATGATTCGTCTGATGCCAAGGTCAAGCTCAATTCACCAAGACAGTGGCCCCTGCTCCATTAGAATAAGAAGTGTGGCCACGCAGCCTCCATATTAGTGTTCTGACTGAAGCAACTGCGTTCCAGGCCATAGCTGCTCAGTAAATATTCATTGAGTGCCTACCGGGTACCAAGCACTATTCCAGGCCCTGAAGGTACAGCAGTAAGCACTGGAGACTAGCTTATGGAGCTTGCGTTCTGCTAGAAAGAAGCAGAAGATAAACAAGTGAATAAGATAATATCAGATAGTGAAAATGCTATAATGAAAATTTTTTAAAGGCTGCTAAAGATCAGAAAAGCATTTCTGAAAAGAGAGAGAGGAGGAGGAGGAAGTGTTTGAGCTGAGATTTAAATGTAAACAAGGAGCCAATTCTGGGAAGGCCTGAGGGAAAGTCCCAGGTACAAAAAACCACAGGTACAAAGGCCTTTGGGGGAAAATAAGTTTTGGCTGGAAGACTGAAAACGAATGTCTGAATGGCCAGAATGTGTGAGTGCAGGGAGGGTGGTAGGAGATTGTCAAAGAACTAGTCAAGATGAACATCACATAGGAACTTGTGGACTTTATAATAAGAAATTGTGATGGGAAATAATCGTCTGATATACGTTTCCGAAAGGTCTTTCTGGCCACCGCATAGGGGAGGGATTGTTGGGGTGGGGTGGCATGGAGGGAGAAGCCGAGGAAACAACTGGAGGGCTACAGCTTGGTCCTGCTGGGGATCTGAATGCTTGAGCCGGGACAGGAGCAGAGAAAGTGTGGGAGGTGGATGGAATCCGGGTGTGTTCTGGAGGTGGAGTTACCAGGACTGGCTGATCCGTGTGATAGGGGAGAAATACAAACAGAGGATTCGCAGGTGGCTCTTAGGTTTTGACTTGAGCAACTGGTTGATAGGATGTCGTGTCCACTCCTGAGATGAGGACGACAAGAGAAATCAAAAGTCCTGTCTTAGATGTCTGACATTTGAGATCTTTATTTGACACCCAAGTGCAGATGTCAGGAATGCATTTGGGTACAGAGGTCAAGGGCTCTGTTGTAGGAGCCTAAATTCTCTGGGCCAGTGTGCTGACCACCCACCTCTGCATCCTGCTCTTTCAGCGGCTCTCTGTTCATGGACTCGGGAAACACGATTCAGTGCCTACTGTACTCTGGGCCTAGGTGCAGTGCTGAGTGACAATGACGTGAGCAAGGCTCGAGGCATGACCTGTCACCAAGGACAGGGCGCGCAGTCCTGGATCCTTAGTATATAATGGGACCCTCTTGATTTTGTTTTTCCTGCCAAATGGCCATCCCAGTGAACACCAATGCTTTACTGTTTTTATTCCAGGGCTTCTCAGCTTGGTGTCCCAGAGCTCACCTGGGAAGGGATCTTAAAGGGTCATTACTCAAATCTCCAGCGACCGTTTGCCCAGACCCGCCTGACCTGAGTGCCCTGGTGATGTGGCACTCGCCCCCGTGCTCTGGGAGGCTCTGCCGGGTCTCGGAACCGGATTCTCAGGGGAGACAAAAGGCATGGGGACAAATTGCCGATATTTGCAACGAAGTGGTAAATCCAGGGATTGCGAGCAGACGGGAGGTCTTTGGGTGCTGTGGAGGGCCTGCCCCAGGGTGCACATGCAGTGGCCCAGTCCCTTCTGGCCAGCCCACATCCGGGAACTGCTGGTCGCAGCGCTAGCTGCAGTGTTTCTGGAAGGGATAACAAGGGCAGAGTGCATGACCTCAGACTGGAGATAATTTTGCTGGCGTCCCAGGGGTGTGCAGAGATGGGTCCTGGTTAAGATCTGTCACCAGCCTGAGACTGGCAGAGCCACATGCAGCATCACAAGCTTATTCATGGGCTACGTTCTCTCTGTGGCCAGAAAGAAGACAGTCCTATCTTCACTCCTCCCCAGAGGAGAGAAGGAAAGTCAATCCTGGGGACCTACCTTTGGTTCCGAGGAGGCCTGCCTGGGCCTGTCCTCATCCTGCCCCCACCCCCTGACCCCACGTCCCCTCCTGCTGTCACGTCTCCACTCTCCCAGGTCGCCGAGCGTTGATTTGTGTTCATCTCCACTCCTGGCTCAGGTAGGCCTGGCAATGATAAATCAAGACGAGGACACAGCTGTCAGTAACGAAGCAGGAAGGACTTGCCAGTCTCGCCAACTTATTAGCAGTGAGTCACAGGGAAGCTTCCGCAGCTCCCCAGCCTGCCACGTGGCCCCTGGTCCTCCTGGAGTTGTCAGCAGACAGGTGCAGCCGCACGGCCCAGCCGTGGGGAGGAGGAGTGGGACGGGCAGGCTGCGCGGCGCCCCAGCGGACACACACCTGGGACGGGGCCCACAGGGGGACGCAGCCTGGCTGCTTCAGGTCAGGGTGAGCGTCTTCTCCCCGAGGACGGGGGGCACTGTTACGGTTTAGAGACACAGTTTATAACCTCTAGAATTCTGGCGTTGGAAGGGAAAGACCCCATCTAGGCCAACCCTGTGCTTTGGGGCAGGGGAAGGTCTTTAGCAAGCCCTCCCCAGACCGCAGGGAGTGTGCGGCGCAGGGAAGTGGGCTGCACACCTGGTGGCCCTGCAGTCCCGGGTCGGCTTTGCTGAGAACTGGCCACGCTGCTGCCTTGGGGTGTCAGCTCTATGTCCTCGTAAAGCATCCTCCTTTTCTGCTGTAGTAGCGTGAGCAGTTTTCTGATTCTTGAAACCAAAGCAGTCTTGTTAAGAGACTATATGAACATATACAGCATTTTGCAGTATGCACGTACTGAATAAGTCTCCAATCTGAATTTTCTCTGAGCCTCAGAGCTATACATCCAACTGCCTGGTGGACCTCTCCACTTGAGGTCCTGCAGGCTCCTCGACTCAACAGCAATCCCACCGTAAACACCCACACATTACAGAGAGGACGAACATCCCTCCGACCCATAACCCATTCACTCCCAATCTGCTTTTTGGAGGCAAGCAACCTTGATAATTTGTTTGTCTGCTGCCAGATCTTTTCAGATACATTTGCATATGTGCATACACACACACTTAGATATATAGATACATGTGTCTGTTTTCATTTACTTAAATGATGTTATAGTCTAGGTATCATTTGACAACCCACTCTTTTCCTACTGAGGATGTCTTGGCTGTCTTTCCACATTCAGATTATTTGCCTTGGTCTTTCAAACTGTTATATAATGTCCCACAGGCTGATGTACCATAATTAGTTTAGCTATTCCCATTGGAGGGCATTTATACCATTTTTGTTTTTTCAGTTACAAACAACACTGCAGAGTCCTTCCTTGTGATGGCCCTTTGGGACACACACAAGGACTCCTTGGGGACAGTCACTGAAAGCTGGACTCCAAGGAATGGAGCCACTTTCACCTTCCTTACCCATCACACAGCCCAAATGATCCATAGGTCTTCTTCCTCCTTCCAGCCAATCGCTAGCACTGGCTGGTCCTTCCCTTGCCTTCCAAACGGCCTCCTCCTGTCAGTTTAACTGCCCCTCTGTCCTCCAGACCCACTCACACCCTGCCTGGGCTGTCACCACCACAGTTTCCCACTGCCCACCCCTCAGGCTCAGTCTTGGCCCTGGCTACACTGCCTCTATCCTCTGCTCAAGAGACCCGCTGAAAAGGGGAGACCTGATGGGGTTGTCCACTTCCTAACCATGAGCTCTCATGTTCCAAGGGGAAGTCCAAACCCCTCACTGTGGCATGGAAGGCCTTTTGGGGTTGGCTTAGTCTGTTTTGTGCTGCTACAGCAGAAAGCCTGAGGCTGGATAATTTGTAATGAATGGAAATTATTGGCTCATGGTTCTAGAGGTCGGGAAGTCCAAGATCGAGAAGCCAGTATCTGGCAAGGGCCTTCCTGCTGCATCATCCCATGTGGAAAGGGCAAAGAAAGGGCATGAGAGAACAAGAGACCCAACCTGCCGCCTCAAGCCTTTTTAGAAGCAGCATTCATGCATTTACGAGGGCTGTGTTGGGGATTACGTTTCTAACACATGCCTTTGGGGGGCACATTCAAACCTGTGGTCCCAGCCTGACTGCCCAGGCTGGATCATCTCTTTGTCACTTCTGCTGTAACTGTCTGAAATCAGGCAACTGGCTGCAGTTCTCCACTCAGTCCTACTCTGCTATTTCTTGACGCCTTTCTTGATGCTTTCTCCCATGCTGTGACTTCTGCTGGGAACATACTTGCCTTTTCCCTTCCCCTGATTAACCCCTTCTCATCCTGTAAGCCTCAGCTCAGGTGCCACCCCACCCAGAGAACCGCATCCAGAGCAGGGTCAGGTGCCCCTCCCATGTTCTCACCAGCACACTCCGCCCTTGAGCACTGCACTTCTCACCTGCACCCTGGTCATTCACATGTGTGCACCTGCTCTCCCGGGACCGTGAGCTCCATGAGGGAGCATGCTTGGCCTCAGCCACCACTGTGCCTTCGGAGCAGACAGTGCTATCTCTATCTGTTTCCTGATCCAAGTCCTTTCGAGGGGTCTGGCCCCACTTGCCAGCTGCAGGAGGTTGCAGTGTGACCCAGCCAGTAGGAATGGACATCAGGCCCAGGACGCGCCGTGCACGCTGTGGGGAGAAAAGGCTCTCTTTCAGCCCAGCGTAGCATTGTGAGCATCTAAAGCTCGTGAGGCTGGAGCTATCATGCCACCTTTAGGAGTTGCCTATGGGACAATGGGAGCCAAGAAAAGGAAAGAACGAGCACACTTGTAGCTCTGACTCGGGCAGGGCAAAGGCAATACATGTAACCTAAACATTTGTACTCCCATAATATTCTGAAATTTAAAAATATTTGAGTCCCAATGACATCATTTGAGCTCCAGGATGGGACCATCTACACTTCACCTTCGTGTAAGCCAATGGTTTCTTTTCATTTTAAGCTGCTTTAAACTGTGTTTTCTGTCACTTACGACTGAAAGAGTCCAGTGGATGTGCCAAGGACGGGCACGCGTGACATCCCTGTGTGGTCCCCTCCTCTATGCAGCAGAGCCGACAGCGTGACCAATAGGTACTGCAGAAGAGAGTGAGTCACTCCCAAGGGCAGGTCACAAAGAACCTGCAGCTCCCGCTGTGCTCCCTCTGGGGATGCCACCGCCACGCCCTGAAGGCGCCCGGCAGTCCTGTGGTGTCAGTCACGTCTCCATGGCTGCAGCCTCATGAGGTGCCCAAGCTAACACCCAATCCCTGACCCACAGGCACTGTGAGAGAACAAATAAGTACTGTTGCCTGAAGTCACTAAGTTTGGGGGTGATTTGTTACACAGCAATGGATAAGCCATTCGCCTCCCCAATCTGCCGCCGCGACACGGAAGCCCCAACCCTCAAAGCCCCTCAACTTTTCAGTGCTGCCAGAATTCACCCAGCTTTTCATGTCAAAGAATAAAAACGTAGGAGTTATCCTCTGTTTTCCTCAAAATCCACAGCTAGTTCAAGTATTAATCGTACTGGCTTTGCCTCCAAATACACCCTGCATCAACCATTCCCTCCACCTCCACCTCTGTAGCCCTAGCCAAGCGACCATAATCTCTCAGCTCGAAGGATGCAATGGTCTCCAAACTGGTCTCTCCGCTTTGCTCTTAAACCTAAGTAAAAGACTCTTCTTACAGCCAGAATTATCTTACTAAAATTCAGAGCACATCCTGTCATTCCCCTGTTTGAAACCCTTCCATGGCTCCTCAGCCCAATTTAAATAAAATCCCAGCTTCCGACCCGGGATTAAGGCCCTGCACTCCAGCCCTCCTCCCTCACCAAACCCATCTCCTGCTATCCTCTGTTACCCACTGTGCTGCCCCCAACCCGGCCCTCCATCTGCCCCCAAACCCACAGGATTGGTGGGGACGGGGCCCCCACTGGACACCTCCTCCTCCAAGCTGCCCACACCCTCCCTCCTCATGGTTCAGGCTTCGACTCAAAGGTCACCGCCCCAGGAAGGTCATCGCTGCCCTGCTTCAGCAGCCCCTGCCTCCTCTGTGCCAGGAGCCTGCACTTAGTGTCTGCCCCGCACCTGGAATGATGCCAGTCTTTCTCAGGGTCTTCCAGCCCCAGCCCCTCCTTGAAATACAAGCTCCACGAGGGCAGAGGCTTGTCTTGTTTGGGGCTTATTCCCTGGACCAGTGTCTAGTAGACAGCAGGTGCTCAATAAATTCTGTTGTCTGAGCAGCTAACTAGTGTTCCACATGATAGACTGGGTAAAGTGTTTCGCAAAGGGCTGTTGCAGCTGCTAAAATGATGCTTTTTCTTATTCCACCTGATTCTGCTCTTCCCTTTGCCAAATGCACATCTTATGCAAGGGCCAAAACCCACCTTGTTTTTGCGGCTGAATTTTCTCAACATCTAGGCAAGGCGGCACAGGCTAGATAGGGCCGGGGGTCTCCCGAAAGCTGCACAGCCAGCCCGGGGCCAGGGCTGGGAGTTTGAATCCCACTCTGCCAATCTGAGGAGCTTCAGGAGAAGGCGAGAGAGAAGACAGGGTTGGCAGAGTCTGGTTGCTGCGGAAGTGAAGCCACGATGAAGCTGGGGAAGCCCGGAATGCCCACGCACACAGCCCTCCGGGGCCCTGGAAGAGGCACAAGCTATGTGTTCACATGCTTGGATGTTTTGTACAACGTGCAAAAGTAAGATGCTTGAACCACATCAGTGAAGACTGCTGCTCCTTTGCCCTGCGACGTGCTCCTGTCAGGCAATGCTGGAGACCCATGGGTGTCTGGGGAGCTGGCCAGGAAGAGGTTGTGTTGGAGTCACCCCCAGCGTGAGTACAAAGGGGCACATCACACAGTTCCCAGCTGATCTCATGTGGAGCTGAGCTCCTGCTCTTCTGGTGCAGAAATGGCTCCCAGCGATAGTCCTACTGGTCCCGTGTCACGGCACGAGGACACAGGCCAGAAGTCAGGTCACAAGGTGGGCATGTCCAGCCGTGCTCAGCCGGGGGAGAGCGAGGGACGCGGGAGCCGCAAGTGGGGCCTGGGCTCTCAGCCTCATTTCTGTCGAGAAACGATCTGCACTCGACGGCATGTACACAAGCAACAAAGCGGGACAAAGCCAAAACACAGAGAGAACCGAAAAAATATTCTCGAGGTGCGTCAGCAGTCACCACAGACACTACGCGACTTTTCTGATGTGTGTGGTGCTTGACAAGTTTTTATAATTGTTTTATTCATTATAATTTCCTTTTTAAGCTCCAAATCAACATTCACTCTCACACCCGGTTTTGTGTCCTTTTTTCTTAGAGGGTCCCCGCTGTGCGGGCTTCCCCAGGCGGGCCGGCGGCCCCAGGCCCCGGCACACAGAGCGGAGTCTGGCTTTGCAGGAGGGGAGAGCTGCCGCCGCCTCCAGCACTGCGGCCCCGCCCGCGCCCTGGCCGTGGGCTGCGGGCCACATGGCTTCCTGTGCCTTCTGTCGAGCAGCGCTCTGCCACCACGATGGCAAGAGCCACCCACTCAGTAAAGCAGAGCAAACAACTCCCACAGACGCGCCGGCAGCTCCGAGGGTGGCGGCCGATTTCGTTTCCCCTTTAACAAGCCATTCCCAGCCAGTGCGCGAGCTGCCGGTCACCCCCCTGGATCTGTGGGCAAACAAATCATCCCGGCCTCGGCAGCAGCTCCGTGGAGGGAGGGGCGGTTTGCGAGGGCCTTACAGACAGTGAGGCTCATCGCCCAGTGCTCATCGCCGCGCCTCTGCGCCCTTGCCCTGCCCTCTCCCGCCCGCCCCACAGCTACCAGCCCGCACAGCCGCTGCTCTCGGAAGCCCCGTCCTCTGCACTCCGGCCACTCGCCTTCCTCGCTGCGCCGGCCAGTGGGCAGGGGCCCAGGGCGCGCTGTTAATAAGGCAACCTGTTCAGGGCGGGTCGATCCGTGCCCGGCCGGCCCTTTCCAGAGCCTCCTGCGGCGGCTGGACCACAGCTCAGGCCCAGCGAGGGGAGGAAGGCGCCTTGCCTCCCAAGAAGCACAGGATGCTTCGGCTGCTTAACTTGCCATCCCCCACCCCAAGCCGTCTGCTGTCAGGAGCTCCGCATTGCGGCAAGTCCCTCTCGTCCCTGGGCCTTTGTCTCCCCATCCGAGGAAGCCTGAGGTCTCATAAGGTGGTTCTCACACCAAACCTGGCCAGCAGACAGGCTTTGAGTGCTCTATACAACGTTCTTGTTTCTAATACTTGGATTAGTTGCCTGCACTTTAAAAATGGGGAGAGTCATCATTTTTTTCACATGTAGATTTTAGGCTTTTTTCCCCAAAACTCAGAAGATCTGGCACTATTGGGTACATGTTCCAGCTCAAGAAGAGGAGCAGCTGTCCTGCAGAGACAGCCCGTGCCCTCCAGGCCACCCCAGGCCCCGCCACTCCCTACCACTCTATCCGGCCGCCTCGCCCACGCAGGCTGCCAGGCCCCTGGAGGCACGTGTGCTTGCCATGGTGGTCCTTCTTCTGGTTTGATATGTTGTGGTTTTAATTCTGCATTTCATTCTTTCTATTATTAGCTCATTTCCCAGGTGTTTGCTGAGCCTGCCTTGTGTTCCTGATTCTCTGCTAAGCACTGACAAATGCACAGACAGAGTGAAAGTCAGGGTCCCGCCCTCAGAGAACTCAGGGTTTGGTC